GGTAAAAAAGTATCCAATGCAAAAAAAAAAACCGTATAGAAAAAGGTTCGCTTCAGCGATAGTATTAGTTTAAATTTACCTTTAAGATTAAGTTTCTCTTCAATTGCTGAACTGGAATCTCGAATTAGTTTCTTTTTTGCAGGCAAAATTTTAACTTAGGTAAAATTTGTATCAAAAATAGGAACATTACAAGATAATTTGCATCACAATCATGATAATCTCTATGACAATAGATATCAACTCTTCATAAAATCACAGCGTCACAAGTCACACAACCAGAACAACAAAACATTGATGTATAAATTCGACACTGATACAATGAGAATTTAGAGTTGGAAAGTTTAGTAGATACTCCCGCACAGAAATAGTTACGAACTAGCCAAGGTTCAACACTATTCCCGTGTTGCTTATATCTTTTTTCTTGCGGCTTTCTTTGGTTTTGTATTTCTTTAGCGATTTTATTCAGTTTCTCTTTTTTTTCCTTCGGTTTTCTTTGTTTCTTTCTTTTGTTTTCACCAGTTTTCTCCTTTTTTTTCTTATTAACTTTCTCCTTTTAACACATGTCTACTTTTCTCAGTGCACATTGCATATTTATCTATTCATGTGTAACATTTTTTGGGACATGTTGAATATATTTGAAATACATGATGTACATTTCTTAATACATGATATCTCAACGGACTTAGAAATAAAGGCTGTAGAGGATTCCATAAGGTTACCAACTAATCAAGCCTGTCCTCCATACTCAAACAAAACAATGTACTATAAAATAGAGAGTATGACCAGATCACGTACTAGAGCCGGCCGGTGACAGTTAGTAACTTGGAATCATGTTCCACCTGCCTACTATATATGACAACGAGAGATCACCACATCATCAATCCAACACTCCCGATAACAAATCAAAGGTTTTTTTTTCCTAAAATAAAGAAGAGAACAATCAAACGCACGCCATAACCTAAACAAATGACCAGCACTAGTACTGATGTTTCAGTAGAGAAGAATATGCCGTGTTTTAACTGGTCGTCGAGGTGCTACCATGTCCGTCTGAAGAACTGGTTGTTGTACAAGTGGTGTGCGGTGGGACGCTGGTGCTGGTGGACGATGGCAGCAACGTTGACAGCCCATCATCCACGTCCAAGGCGGACGGTGGCTGAGCATATGTCGGCACCGGCATCTTGGAGGGGAGCACTGGCAGCTTGTCGACCTTGGAGTGGAGCTTGGCCATGGCTTCTCTGATGGTTGGCCGCGCGCTCGGGTCCGGGTGTGCACACCACAGCCCGACGACCAGCACCCTCTCCACCTGTGCTGCGTCTAAGTCACCATTCAGCAGCTTGTCGGCGGACTCAAGAATAGATCCCCGGCCGTACAGCCCCCAAACCCACTCAACCAGCCGGAACACGCCACCGTTCTTTTGTTGCTGGTCCTGATCGGTCGCAGTGAAGCTCATCGGCTTCCTGCCGCACACCACCTCCAGCAGAACCACGCCGAAGCTGTACACGTCTGACTCAGCGCTGGCCCTGCCGGTGACGACACACTGGGGGTCCAAGTAGCCCGGAGTCCCTGAGACTGCGGTCATAGTCTGCGTCCCGGTGGCATGGTCGACAAGCCTTGCGAGCCCGAAGTCGCCCAGCTTAGCTCCAAATGACTCGTCTAGCATCATGTTGCTGGGCTTGATGTTCCGGTGCAGCACGCACTGCTCCCACTCCTCGTGGAGGTAGAGCAGCACGGACCCGAGCTCCATCACTATCCTCATCCTCATCGGCCATGTGAGGAAGGTGCCCTGCTTGCCATGGAGATGGATGTCGAGGCTGCGGTTGGGCATGAGCTCGTAAACCAGCAGGAGCTCCTCGCGGCCATGGCTCCAGCCGAGGAGCTGCACGAGGTTCCGGTGGCGCAGCCTGCTTATCACCTTGATCTCTGACTTGTACTCCCTCTTTCCTTGCAGGGAAGAATCATGCTTGGAGAACCTCTTAATGGCCACGGGAAGCCCAGCTGGCTCTCAGGTAGCCTCGGTAAACCGCACCGAAGCCACCTTGCCCAAGCTTCTCCTCCGCGGCAAAGTTCCTCGTCGCTTCCACGAGCTCGTGGTATGAGAACCGCCTTGGCCCCTTCACCATCTCGATCTCCATCATCGGGTCACCTTCGCCTTCCGAGTCTGTGTGGTACTCATCCATCTCCACCATTTTTTGTTGATGGTGGCGACGCACAACGAGTGCCACTGTAGCGGCGAAGATGAGCACGAGGGACACTGATGCACCAGCAGCTGCCCCGGCTATTACTCCCGGACCCAGCCTTGACAGGGAAGATATTGCTGCTGCTGGCGGCGGCGGCGGTTCCAATGAAGATATGAAGGACCAAGAGTGTAGCTGATGCAGTTCGATGGCGTTGGATGTGGATGCGGAGAAGCCGACCGAGACCTGCTCCGGCAGTGCGCTCTTGAGGTCAACCTTGGAGCGAAGGTTGTAACTCCTGTTTCTTGGCTTGCCTTCGTTATCATCACCGAGCCACACCGTCACTGACAAGATGCTGGAAACATTGTCGTAGTTGATGTCGGCAGTCAGGTTGCCCGTCAGCTCGAAGCTTGGCATAGTCAGTGTGCGCACCGACCGGAGGGAGCTGATGTCGATGCCGATGTGGTCGAAGGTATCGTGGGGGTCGGACACCACTGTATTGTTGAAGGTGTCGAACTCCACCGCCACGAACCGGCTGTCGCCGGCCGCCACGGCATCCGCGCTCTGGCTGGTGAGGGCGAGGTTGTAGTCAGGGCAGCGGGCTGGCAGGCTGGACGGGTAGCCGGCGAGAAAGAAGGCCATGCCTTGCCCCTTGCTGCTGATGTTGCTGGAGATGACGAACGAGAAGCACGTGGTGAAGCTGGCAACCTCGCCGGTCGCCCTGTCCCATAGCAGCATCGGCTGGGCATTGTACGATGCCCGGCCATTGCTGTAGTCGATGCTTCCGTACCTGTTGGCGCTGATGTCGACCCATCCAACGCTGAAGGATGCGTCGCCTTCGATCTTGATGGCGTTCTGGTCCGCTGAGCTGAATGTGGAGTAGTTGAAGGACAAGGAGATGGCAACAGTAGGAAGGTAGAAGAAGAAGATGAGCAGGAGGAGGAGAGCACAAGTGGTGGATGCCGAAAAGCCAACCATCCTCGCATCGGCGATGATCACGATGCATCAACTCTATTATACGATGCATAAAGAGAAACGCCAGGAATAAGTCATTCCAGCTAAGAGACTCCTTAGCTTCATTCCAGCTAAGAAACTCAGATTTTCTGCAGATCAGCTAAAATGCAGTCGCCCCGTTTTCATTAAACTGCAGACGATTTCTAGGTCGGGCGATTCATCCGTGATTCATGATGATCAAGACGGGGACGGGGATGACACAGAGCGGAGACGAGTCTGAACTGAGCTGAAGATGGTGGTTTCTTTTCTAAATTTCTTCTATCTATTTCTGAACTCTGATACAGATGTACTCCCTCCGTAAACTAACACTCTTATATTAGTTTACAGAGGGAGTACTACATATCCTCATGTACAGGCTACTTTTCGTCAAAAGAAAAAGCTGAACAAAGCAGCAGTGGGCAGCAGCGACCGGCCAGGCAGCAGCGTTTTCGTTAAACCACGTCATGAATAATAGTACTCTATATATATTTGAACGTAACATCTTCTAATTTCCACTATGTTAAGACAGCTACAATATGGTTGAACAAATCAAGCATACTTGTTCAACGATACTACTTTTTTCAAGGAAAAAAAAAGGAGCATTCTTAATTAATACTCCTTAGGATCCTACGCACCAAGGACAAACTAACAAAACAAGCAAGTTGGAACCACCATGGCAAATGGCAAACTATCAGCTTTAAGCATCAGTTAGTCCGCACATACCATGACCATTGCTAAATTGCTGATCGGCGTTGTCTGTGGCATTCCATAAGTAAACACCCACATGGGTACATCATTGCCCAACACTTAATTCATTTTCTTTGAAAAGAACAGTTAACTTGCTAAATACTTAATTCATTGTTCTTTGAAAAGAACAGTGAACTTGCTATGCTGAGATTTCACGTATATTTTTCCATTCCCCTATCCAAGGAAAGGGCTACATTAGTTAAAACTCAGATCATGCAGGTATTAGGACTGTTTTCAGGATGAGAAATTGCTAGATCAACCCAACAGCTGCCTGATTGTCAAATAGTACTACCCGTCTACCCCCGTCCTAAATTATAAGACGTGCCTACCAAAACGTCTTATAATTTGGGGCAGAGGAAGTACTACACTAGCTAGGGGAAGCTACACGGATCCATTTGAATAAATTACGCCTACTTGTTCACATCATACAATTATGAATATACCAATAAACATTAAAAAATATGAATAACAGAGATACATTGTGTAAACGTGCTGACTCAAGCAAAAGATGTAACCTCATATTAATAAGGGAAGATGTTTACACACAAGCAAGAAAACAATACGCAATATGCAGATAATAAACTATCCGAAAGGAGAATCCTGCTGACTTGCTGAGTTAGACAGACTATAATGGGTAATTCAGAGCAGACGCAAAGCACTGGACCTTTTTATTCTCTCAATTTTCAGGAAACCTAAGCCGTACGTACGGCAACCAGTGGGCATTTAGGCACCGGCGCACCGCACAGACCAGCACTACTTGCTTAATCCCAGTTTTCTCCCCGGTGGTTTATTTCTTAGGTTGCCAAAAGTGAAAATACTTGGAAGGGGGGAGTACAGAAGAAAAAGAAAAGGTTGTACCAGGCGGCAATACCCAAACCATTTCCCCAACACTGCCACAAGCTGAGAAAACATATAGGTCTAGATTATCTTGTGAAGATTTCACCTCCTGCCTGACCTGATGATGGATTGTGCACACATACTGATAATCAACTTTGGACTAGCAATGCCTGGAGATCGAACAAGTTAGAGCATCGCTATGAGATGAAGATCATAGATAGACAGATTAGTACCGTGCATGTAACCAAACCATGGATCATACAGATTTCACAGGTTAAAGAGCTAAGTACTGGAGTTGACTTGATTAGTGACCCTCTTGTCCTGGTCAGGGCAAATTTGAAGCATAAACTTTCTACCTGCGTAGTTGCCGAGCTGCCCTTCGTAGTGGCTAATCGCCGGAGCCTCCCCTCGACGCGTCGCTCCTCCACGGCAAAGAACAGCGCTCGCCTGGCCCCCGTCGGCGGCTCGGTCGCCTACTCCGATGCATCGCCAGATCTCGAGCTGCCCCTGCATTCCTCCCAGCGCCGGCGCCACAGGCCGGCCTCGCGGAAGTCAGGCGGTATACGGGCCGCGGTGTGGACGGTGGCCGTCGGCGGCGGAGGATTCCGGTGAGATTTGGGGGAGGGGGGCTTGACGGCTGGACGGGCCGTCGTGGAGCGCATTCTAGTGGGCCCGGGCTACCCGAAGCAGGCCTCGTGGCTCAGTTAATTCCGCACAACCACTCAAAAAGAAAAAAGGTTCATTTCGCACTTTCTTTTTCTTTTCCAGACACGTACACTCACATTTCTCTCAAAGACACACACACTTACTCTCCAGACTAATTTTGAAAAAAAAAATCTCCAAACCTTTCTTCATGAGATGGATCATACTAATACACGTATACTCAACAAAAGGAAAAACTTGCTCCACTTAGTTAAGTTTGCGCATCTCATAAGAATGGGAGTTTTCTAGTTTACGGGGATTTTAGGATATAATAACTGGTAAATTTTAATGAACATTTCAAAAATAGGATTTTGAGGTTGCTTTTTGAAATATAAAACGTTGTGACATTGTAGTTTTCTTCGGACCTGGGACTGATAGTATTTAACACGACCGGCTGCTAGGCTATTCTTCTTGCATGCTTTTGGTAAATTATGTCCTGGCAATTGATTAATTGTGTGGATGAGTCCCAAGTATTTTAGTGACTCTTGGCAGTATGAATTCGCATCTCTATTTAATTACTCACTAAGCAGGAGTGACACGACGACCGCGTGGCCTAATGGATAAGGCGCTCGCCTCCGGAGCGGGAGTTTCTGGGTTCGAGTCCCAGCGTGGTCGCATTTTTTGTCTTTTGCACGTTCATGTCCCGCCGCCGTTTA